TACTATTACATCAATTAGCTAAACAGTTTAAAAAGAAGTAAGTACAAGTAATTGTCACATGGGATAACCCAAAGCTTCACCTAATTATTTGATTAAATCCTTAAAATATATACCAAAGAAAATGCAGTTTACTAAAAAGCAGCCCCTGAGAAAACTGGTTTCTTTGTTCTCTATACAGTTTTGTTCTTATTTCCTAAACGTTTGAAATCAGTGAAAACTCTACGTAAGCTGTGTTTGCTTACTGAATTCAGGGATTGTGTAAGTATAGTAGCAACTATTGTCTTTGCTTCAGTTCAATTGTGAATTATCATGACATACTCATTTCTTTTAAGATCAGATACACCAGTGTTTTAAAATTCTTCATTCCGTTAACAAAACATAACAACTCAGACTTAAGGCTCTCTTTGGTTAATAATCCACAGTGACGCCAGTGAAAAATTGGACTGCTTGGGAGTGATTTTGTAGCTTTTCTTACTGACTGAGGAAAATCATATAACTACAAAAAGTTGCAGGAAGCTTTTGTCGCTCAGATGCCACTGAGTTGGAGGACAAACTAGAAAAGGCAAAGTCTTGAACACATTTTAAATATTTAAGCTTAGAAAAATTTAAGATTTTAGAGGAAAACCATCAAATGTCTTGCTGTACATTTATTTAACTAACACATAAATTATTCATTATTTTGTGAACTAAATGGTTTCAACACATAGAAATATTTGACGGTGTGTATTAAGAGGAAAATAAATTATGTTTAAATATGAAGTTTCTTTCTGGCCTGGTCCCCTGAGGTTGAATGAGTATTGAACCGGACTCAATTTGTTTTCTAAATTCATTCAGTGCTTTCTCTAGGAAGCTGCTTGTCTTTAGCTTTTAGAGTGGATCTTGCCTCCTTTTTGTGATATGAGTGCCACCTAGAGTACACTCTGGGAACTCCCTTAAGCACTGCCTTTAAACTGAAGGATCAGTGAAAATTGTCTTCTGGAACCCCGTCCTTCCTTAAACAACTCAGAACCTCGGTAGCAACAGTATTTTAAAGGAGAAAACAAAGGTCTTCACTTTCAGTATTATGACAAGGCCAAGTCTGCAAATCAGAACCTTACCTAATTCTTTCATTTACTTAGAACATCCATTAAACCATGTGTTAGGATGATGGCTATACCATAATCATATCATAGAGTGTTTTGTCTATAGATACACTGTTTTTTCTTTAAAGTGTAATTGGGCTACCAACTATTTTATGCCAATTTGATTAACCTAGTAACACTAAATGTCCTCTCTATATTGGGCAGTTTAACTAAAAGAATGATGGAAAATTTCTTATCTCCTCCCATTACATTCCATTTCAAATTTGGGTGTGTTTTGACATTAAATGGCATGAAATAAAATAGTATATTGGTATTTGATTTCTGAGGGGCTGCATAAGGAAATAAAGATTGGTATCCTCTCTAGAACATCTAGTTTGGGTCTGGATGGTGGTATTTTCCTGTCTGCCGGCTTTTCAATCACTGCTTCACCACGTTGAAGGGAGAACACCAATTTCCAGGATCACCAGTTTATTTTTATAGATAAAATTTATATTATAAGATACTATTTGCCACAATAAAATCTGACCTTTCCCCAATTCTTTTATTTGTTTAGCTTATCCAAAAAAAGTATTAACATATACATTAACAACGTCGAAAGTAGCCTACTTTAAGAGAAAATATGCAGAAGAAGAAGATTTACATCAAGATTACCATGGGTATTTTCCAAAAGTAAGGGTTTGTTTATTATTATTTTTTCATTTTTATGAGTGTTGTCAACAGTAAAAAGCTGTAGTTTTTGTTTTTCTAAATATAGATTTAATGATCATGTTTGCTTTCCAGCACCTGATATTACCTGAGGACAGAACTTGCATCCTCAAACTTTCTCTGGAGAAGCTCAGGTTTCTTGAAGACCCAGAAACCTACTTAAGAAGGTCTGTGTTAATTAACAATTTGCTGAGGAAGATACATCTAGAGACGGAGAAAGAGAGCTATGAATACTTTAAAGAAGCTCCCTGTTATAAGACTGCATATTCTGATACAAGAAAACGGCTGAAGTTTATGGTACAAGAATGCTGTTCTCAGTCTCTCTATTATGAAGAGCTGCATTCGTATCATATTGTGCCTTATGCTTCGGAGAATGCCATTTATGAAATGGGCTACACTAGCAGCCACTTGGAGCAAAATTCTCAGTTGCTTATTTATAAAATGAATTAAAGTAACTGTTAAGTCCATTGATACTTTGTTTCTAAATGCCTGAACTGTTTATAGTGAAGATGTTAATATAAGGCACTCATTACCAGTGCACTTGATATCAAAGATGAGATGCATGCTGAACTGATTGGAGAGAACAATGGTTATTACTCAGCAGTCCTTAGAATCATCAAATTGACTAGAAAATATGTTCACATATGATAAAGCGGTCAATTAGCGCTTTAGAAGCAAAGATTTTTTTTAAACATAAGATGTGTAGGAAGGGGCCTACGTTAAATAATTATACAGGTGAAAAATTTTCTTTTACGCCCTGATTTCCAAATTCTGCCACTCTTACTGGAAAGTAATGAAAGTAACAGATTAAATTGATAATGCCATGTCCCTGAGGATGAAGGGTGGAACACATTTAATTTTCTGTAAATGACATGAGGAAGGGCTGGTTCTTTCTGAAGTGCTTTGACTTGTCAAGCATTGTGCCAAATAATTGTTTGATACCATTTTCCTTTTACCATTAATAGCAATTCAAGATGGGGCAAAGACACTGCAACTAAACTGCTGAGTGTAACGACCAGATTACTCCAAACTGATCCATTTTACTATTTTGTGGGGAGGGCTTAGACTTTTCTCTTTAAAAGTGAAATTTAACAAAATAGCCTTGCAGATGGGCTTATCTTTAAATTCTACAGGTTGGTCAAAATTTGTGGTGGGCCTTTAGTTAGCAGTTTAAGTTTTATTTATTTTTTTTTTATAGGCTGCGAAGCTCAGGAAAAGGGTGGGGAGGTAAAATTGTTTTTAATGAGTTGATACTTTTTAGAAACCTTATCTGCAAAAATTAATGAGAACAACAAATTCCACATGATGTTATTTCTTCATCTAGTTAAGAGTACATTTAAGGCTGCCTGGATGAAACTTTGCACTGATTTTTGTATAATAGCTGATCACTCACTATTTGACAAATTGTTTCAGAATGCCTTTGGTGGTGAAGTTTAGATAAGTCCCTATGTTTTGCAATTTGACAGATAATTATTTAACAAGTTGGATAGATTCACGAAATTGTTTGAAGTGGTTCATACTGTTCTTTCAGGTTTGAGTGAGATGTCTGATTTCAATGTCTGAAGTTTTGTCCTATGGAGCGTATCATTTAAAGAATTGTCATTAACTGATAAAACAGATTGGAAAAACTAGGTGCCAAAGGTGTATTTAAGAAAATACCAAAGACTCAAAGATGAGTGTTAGGAAGACTATGATAATGAAGATAAGAATCTAAAGTAAGGGTTGCATAGGACATAAGAAGAACATGGTTAAAGGGGTTTGGAATGATTTGCTTACTAATGTGCTTTCAGAATACTTTACACGTAATAATCATAATCAAGGGCACTGCTTTAAATGAAGATACTACAGACCTTTAGGAATCATATGCCTTGGAAAAAAATCTATGTATGGTGACTTGTCAACAAAGTATCTTCCCTAGTTGGATGCCATCTTGTAACCAAGAAGACTTTCTTCTATTCAAGAGAAATTTGGTTTTAGTTTTGATTCAATACTTGGTCCCTCTAATTAATCACTGGGGTGATTAACATGAATTCAGTTGGTATAAAGAGTATTGGTTCCCTAATTAGCCTGCAGTGTTGAAGACCACATAGATATATTATTGATAAGACTATGAGGCTTATGTTTAATTACTCAATCAAAGTAGGAAGAAATGCTTTAGAAGAAACTAAAAAATTATAATTTAGGTTAATTTTTAAAGGCAATTTAGTATAAATGAGTTAGCTTTGAAATACAGATTTAAATGTTTAAAAATTAATTTGAGGGCAAGATTTGATACCAAAGTTTCAAAAATTTTATTTCACTGCTTATAAAATACTTAATCAGAACACTTATTTTAAAAAATAAGATCTTATTTGAAAAACTCCAAATTTGATGGGATAGTTACACCATCATACAATTTTAAAGGTAGAATTAGCTTTCTAATACTTTAAAATATTTTCTGAAATGAACATTTGACTTGGTTTAGGACAGTGTCTATAAGTAAAAGACACCAATGGTAACAGATATGACTTACAAAACTGCCACATATCGAAATTGATTGAGGACTGAAATACATATGCTTTGGCATAGAGAAGAGAGGAAGAGAAAAAATATGAAAAAAGTGTGACATTGTAATATTTATTGTATTTAATAAATCTTGAAGAAAGAATTATTGAGCAATGAACCAGTGACAGATATAAAAGCCTGTTTTATTTGATGACATCATTAACTGAGTTTTCTGATCTATACATTCATACATCGAGAAGGAACTGTCTTAAAAACCAGTGGTTTTTTTTTTTTTTTTTTTAAGTTCTAGCATACATGTGCAGAATGTGCAGGTTTGTTACACAGGTATACACATGTCATGGTGGTTTGTTGCACCCATCAACCTGTCATCTACATTAGGTACTTCTAATGCTATCCCTCCCCGTGATATTTGTTAATATGCTTTTTTAAAAAAGTGTCTGCCTCGAAACAGGTAGTTAAAAAATATCTTGTAGGGCATTTAATTATTTTTTCCAATAAACAACTCATAGATAAGGGGTTGACTAATGTTATCTTGATTTAGAAAATTTGTATGTAAAATGTGTAAACTTTTCTGGGTTAACTAATAGACTACTGGGATTTTAGCACGGCAAACTAATCTATAGGGAGACCCACACACAGGCTTGCTTTGCTGACTACTCAGTGGGCTTTGTTACAGGAGCTGCAAAAGGTGGAAGACCAGTTACAACCTTTTTTTTTTTTTTTTAAACCTGGACATCCTTTCTCTGGTGGCAAGAGCCATCTTTATGATAAGGAAGGTGAGATAGAAAATGGAGAGCCTTTGGTAATGTTATCTTTCTTGTGGGTGTCCAACTAGCCTCAAGGCCAAGTGAAGAAGAAAATAGAAAAGTAGAAGAGGAAAAATGAAGAAAAGAGGAAAAAGAGGGCAGGGCCAGAGAAGTAAAGAGTAGGATTAGCAAGTGAAAGAAAAAGTTGCTTTGTTGTGTGGGGGGGTGTTCTTGCTTGCTATACTCAATTTTGCTTTCCCATGTCTGCTGTACACAGAACACCTGATCTCTGCAATGTATTGCTCCTTTCTTTCATTCACTGTGATGAGTAAGACTAGATTCTTTTCAGCGTATCTACTATTTGCAAAGTGTGAACACTGTAAAATATCCCTGAAACTGAGCTCTTTGGGTGGATAAGCGAAGGAAAAATAGAAAATAATTAAGGTTAGGGAAAGGCTAAAGGATAAGCCTGTGTATAAATGGAAAATGGATAAGTTCCAATGCATTATCTGGTTTCAATGTAACACCCAAGATTTAACAAACTCAGTGCTAGAAGACTTGAAAATAAGTGCAATTTACTACCATTTATTGAGCAGCTGTTATGAGCCAGGCACTGTGCTAGGGCTGGGGATACATAAGTGAATAATGCACAGTCCCAGAAATCAGATTATTTGGTTTTGTTTTACCAAATCCAAATGCAGTACCTGCATTTCCCTTTTCCAAACTGGGATGGCTATCAAACGTGTCTTTCAAAAAGTGTTTGCAGGTGAGAAGATGCACAAGGTGAAGGAAAGTTTTCCTGACCCAGATCTTAGAAGGAAAGGAGAGGATACATTTTGCTTTACAGCATATTTACTGTTGGCAAAAAGCCACTATTGCCTAAGGGAAGTATGGCTGACCTCAGCCCATCCCTGGGGCATATCTCGTGGGTGTGGTAGGGAGACCAATCAGGTAGGGAACAATTCCTTTTCCCCTTACCTCTGGCTTCCATATTCTTTTATGGGACAAGTCAGATTAATATTAATGTTAAGGAGAGCCTTAAAGGAGAAAGAGAATCAATAAATCACAGCCTGAAAGTTGTGTATATTGTGTGCAAGGTCAGAGGGGCAGCCTTCTTTAATTTGCCTTGTGCTGGTGAATTGCTTGAATGAACTTCAGTATTTCTTAACACCAGGTACTGGAGCCACCTTCCTTCTCTCCCTGTGGTTTCCTCTTTAAATCACATCCTGACCCCAGTCTTTATAGTCCATTGTAAGTGGAAGTTATAGTTCTATTCTTCGCCCCCAGCTTGCTCCCTATCATTGACACTTAAGAGGAAAGTAACAATTTGCAGTACTGGCTGAACTCCTTTGGGAAAGTTTCTGGAGTGTATCAAGTAAGAATTCATCATAGTAACATGGTCATTACTGGCTGAACAAAATTCTTTTTGAAACTATTGCACTTAGTCATTAAATAATTGTTTACTAAGGCAATCTTCATGTTTCTAGAATTCAGTGTAATAGTTAACAGTTGTATATGTCTCACAAAAGAAACTACTTAGGTTGGAAACAATGGAAGGTTGTGTATAATTAATCAGGTCCTGAATATTTATGTAACATACGACTTTTTTTTTTTGAGACGGAGTCTCGCTCTGTCGCCCAGGCGGGAGTGCAGTGGCCGGATCTCAGCTCACTTTTAACTTATATGTTCTCATTCTCAAACTTCATTACTATACAGCAGCCACAAGACAAATTTCAGGTTTTTTGTTTCTTTATTAAGTGGGCCATGTCTAAAAGTTGTTACATTCCTGATTGAACGTTATGGACAAAATTTCCCCATTAAAGTAGTTTTGTCTTTCTCAAGGATTATCCTTTAGGGTTGGGTGGATTAAAAACATTACATTAGTGCTTGTTGAGCTTACAAGTCACTAGGGATCCTTTTAGTAGGTTTGGGGTGAGGAATGAAGGTCTTCATCTCTCGAATGTCCCAGGTGATGTGGATGCTGCCAATCCATCCACCACACTTTGAGTTGGGAGAGTCTACATCATTGGAGAAATATGCAGACTGAAGCCTATACTCTTAAACTTTCAAAGACTCTGTGTTCATGTCTGTGTTCTGCGGGATTTTTTTTCTTTTAAGAAATAAAATGCATGAAGTAAAATCAGAAAACCATAACACTAGTTTTCTAAATTTGCCACAAATACTATAATACTTTGCAGAGCAAAATGCAAAGATTATTCCTCTTACAAGTTTTCTCTATATCAAGTGCAGGAAAGGAACATGGGTAGAGTCATGTACCATTCTTATCAGTCAGGAGATGACACATGCAAATTTCTCTTCTTGATTTTCCTCTTCATTATATTCACATAAGGGAGCTCCATTTGGTAACAAAGATGAAATCCTGTTCACATTTAACAAGAATTTAGCAATTTCTTGCTTGGCAAAATCTGAGACAACCTTACAAAAACATCCTACATTAAATTCAGAATTTTGGGTAGCTGCATAAGCTGAAGATTATGGAAAACCTGAGCTGAAAATGGCACCTGGATCTGTAACTTCTTGTCTTGAGCTCTTTTTTGAGCTTTATTCTGTGAGAGATCCTTCCCCTGTTGTACTTTTTCTATTTCTCCTCAGTCGCTGGGGTCTCAGTACGGGGTGGAGGATTGGTGTAAATGAGAGAGTCACATAAATTGTCTAATTTGAGCATGCCAAGTGATTTTTGTCAGGCTCTTTTGGTCATAAAATTTTGGTATAACTATTGTGAAATATAGTGTCATAAATTTGTCATAAACCATTAATGAAGGAAGAGAAGCAGGAATTTATTTCTGTGGGAATGCACTCAAATATCAAGCAGATGGTGTTCTACAACATTTATTTGGGAAAATGTGTATCTGTTACATAATCTAAAATATGTCTTTTTCACATTTAAAAATATTTGGGTCATGATTTAGAGTTTTTATTGGATTGTTTTTTAAACTGAGAGGAAGAAGAAAGGTAATTGTATTTTAAAACATTTGACATGTTACTAATAAAATTTTATTTCTGGTGAAATATAGGTGCCTTTGTTAAGTAGGGGAGGTGGGATCATGAACATCTGGCAGCTGCTGTATGTCCCTTATTTCCAGAGGCATCATTTTAAAGTCATATGCTTGTATTTCTTTCAGCAGTTTGTTTTCAGCACTGTTTGCTTAAGGATTTGGAAGATATTCCCAGTCTCCTGGCACAGCTTCTTCACTGAGTGACCCTGAAATGGTTTTTAGATAGTGCACGTCATTTAAAAGGACACAACAGAACTGACTCCTTTTAGGCATTTTTTAAACACAACAACTATAAATCTCAGGGTGAAAGATAGCTCCTCTATCCACTGAACAGCTGTGGGTGTGTGCGTCATTCTCCATTATTTGTTAGGTGAGCTGAGCATTAGATTAACTTGGATTCATTAGGTGAACTGGCATGCACCAGGGAGATAGCGTCCCTCTCTTTCTAGCAAACTTTCCATCAGTTTGCAAAGCTGATAAAGCTGATCTAGTTATCAGCTTTGCAAACTGATGATCCTAGGGGCCTCTACAAAACACTGACTTACGTGGGGCACCAGTGCCCATGTAGGTGTCTCAAAGGAAATAACCTTTTTCTGTGTATATCCAGTGTTTCAGTCTGTTCTCTCACTGCTAATAAAGATATACCTGAGACTGGGTAATTTATAAAGAAGTTTAATGGACTCATAGTTCCACATGGCTGGGGAGGCTTCACAATCATGGCAGAAGGCAAATGAGGAGCAAAGTCATGTCTTACATGGCAGCAGGCAAGAGAGCTTGTGCAGGGGAACTCTCATTTATAAAACCATCAGATTGCATGAGATTTATTCACTACCATGAGAACAGTATAGGGGAAACGTTCCCCTCTGATTCCATCATCTCCACCTGGCCCTGCCCTTGATATGTGGGGATTATTACAATTCAAGGTGAGTTTTGGGTGGAAATGTGACCAAACCATTCCACCTCTGGCCCTTCCCAAATCTCATGTCCTCACATTGCAAAACCAATCATGCCTTCCCAACAGTCCCCCAAAGTTTTAACTCAGCATTAACTTGAAAGTCTACAGTCAAAAGTCTCACCTGAGACAAGGCAAGTCTCTTCTGCCTATGAGCCTGTAAAATCAAGAGCAAGTTAGGTACTTCCTAATACAATGGGGGTATGCATATTGGGTAAATACAGCCATTCCAAATGGGACAAATTGGCTAAAACAAAAGGGTTACAGGCCCCATGCAAGTCCAAAATCCAGCAGCGCAGTCAAATCTTAAGGGTCCAAAATGATCTTCTTTGACTCCATGTCTCACATCCAGGTCATCCTGATGTAAGAGGTAGGTTCCCACGGTCTTGGGCAGCTCCAACCCTGTGGCTTTGCAGGGTACAGCCTCCCTCCTGGCTGTTTTCATGGGCTGCCATTGAGTGTCTGTGGCTTTTCCAGGCACACAATATAAGCTGTTGGTGGATCTATTATCCTGAGTTCTGGAGGACAGCGGCCTCCTTCTCACAGCTCCACTAGGCAGTGCCTCAGTGGGAACTCTGTTTGGGGGATCCAACCCCACATTTCCCTTTTGGACTGCCCTAGCAGAGGTTCTCTATGGGGGCCCTGCCCCTGCAGCAGATTTCTGCCTGGACATCCAGGAGTTTCCACATGTCCTCTGAAATCTAGGCAGAGGTTACCAAACCTCAATTGTTGACTTCTGTGCACCCACAGGCTCAACACCATGTGGAAACCACCAAAGCTTGGGACTTGCACCCTCTGAAGCAATGACCTGTGCTCTACATTGGCCCTTTTTAGTCATGGTTGGGATGCAGAGCACCAACTCCCAAGACTGCACAAAGCAGCAAGGCCCTGGTCTCAGCCCACAAAACCATTTTTTCTTCCTAGGCCTCCAGACCTGTGATGGGAGGGGCTGCTGTGAAGACCTCTGACATGCCCTGAGGCATTTTCTCCATTGTTTTGGCGATTAACATTTTGCTCCTTGTTACTTATGCAGCCAGCTTGAATTGTTCCTCAGAAAATGGGTTTTGCTTTTCTATCACATCATCAGGATGCAAATTTTCTAAACTTTTACGCTCTGCTTCCCTTTTAAACATAAGTTCCAATTCCAAACCACTTCTCTGTGAATATATAAAATTGAATGCTTTTAAGAGCACCCGAGTCACATCTTGATCACTTTGCTGTTTAGAAAATTTCTTCTGCCAGATGCCCTAAATCATCTTTCTCAAGTTCAAGGTTCCACAGATCTCTAGGGCAGCAGCAAAATGCTGTCAATCTCTTTGTAAAACATAGCAAAAGTCACCTTTATTCCAATTCCCAACAAATTCCTTATCTCCATCTGAGACCACTTCAGCCTGGACCTTATTGTCCGTATCACTATCAGCATTTTGTTCAAAGCCATTCAACAAGTCTCTAGGAAGTTCCAAACTTGCTCACATTTTCCTGTCTTCTTCTGAGCATTTTGTTCAAAGTCATTCAACAAGTCTGTAGGAAGTTCCAAACTTTCTCACATTTTCCCGTCTTCTTCTGAGCCCTCCAAACTGTTCCAACCTCTGCCTGTTACCCAGTTCCAAAATCACTTTCACATTATCAGGTATCTTTACAGCAGTACCCCACCACCCAGTACCAATTTACTGTGTTAGTTCATTCTCACACTACCACACCCAAGACTGAGTAATTTATAAAGGAAAGAGGTTTAATGGATTCACAGTTCCACATGGATGAGGAGGCCTCACAATCGTGGTGGAAGGCAAAGGAGAAGCAAAGACACATCTTACATGGTGGCAGGCAAGAGAGCTTGTGCAGGGGAACTCCCAATTATAAAACCATCAGAACTTGTAAGACTTATTCACTATCAGGAGAAAAATATGGAGGAAACTGCCCCCATGATTTAGTTATCTCCACCTGGCCCTGCACTTGACATGGAGGGATTATTACAATTCAAGGTGAGATTTGGGTGAGGACACAGAGCCAAACCATATCATCGAGCAAGACAAAGTCTTGATTAAATGTACAGTTATTTGAGCAACCCAGTTATTTCAGTTTAAATGAACAACTGACTCACATAAATGACAGAGACTATCATGTATGTGTTAGTAGAAACTTAAACACATATGATCAGACACATCCAAGACAGTAACATAAAGAACTGATCAGTACTTTCCAGCAGTAAAGAATCAATCTTATATATTATATTATGTAAGTGTCTTGGATAGTGCCTGGAGCATATCTGGTAGAAGTAAACGGCACTGTCTAAGTAACTCTTAGTCTGTTTTTTAAACAAATAAATGTGTTTTTTTGTTTCCATTGGTGTTCTACTTTTAAATTTAAAAGTAGGTCTATATAATTTTCTTTCCTATTGAAATTTGTAAGCTGGGCATGGTGGCTCATGCTTGTAATCCTAACACTTTGAGAGGCTGAGGCAAGAGGACAGCTTGACCCCAGGAGTTCAAGACCAGTCTAGGTAGCATAGTGAGATCTTGTCTCAACAAGTAATTAAAAAAACATTAGCCAGGTGTGTCAGTGCCTGCCTGTGCATGGTCCCAGCTACTCGGGGGGCTGAGGTGTGAGAATCATTTGGGCCCAGGAGGTTGAGGCTGCAGTTAGCCTTAGTTAGGATCACACTGTTGCACTCTAGCCTGGGCAACAAAGAAAGACCCTGTTTCAAAAATAAAAAATAAAAATAAACAAAAAATAAAAGAAATAAAAAATTTATGGAACACACACACATAGAGAGCATGCCCAAGAGTGGGAGCGAGAGAGAGAGAAACCATCAATTGCAGGTGAATGGGTCTGTTTATTTATTACCATTAAGAAGTAAAAGAAAGGGTGAGTACCTCAAGGTGTTTCTTTCAATCACCTTGGAATCTGCATGAGAATTTCACGCCACATTGAGAAGCTTAAATATAGTGGAATTGGCGAGTTGATAGTTTTAACCTCAAAACGAATATCCACCACAAAAAAGGATTTCTGTTTTTATTTCCCCACACTACTCCCCAAGCTTATTCTAGCTTATTCCTGGCCCACTGCTTCTATTTCAGACCTGATTGCTGTCACTGAAATTGTATAGTCATGGTAAACTCTACCAGGACAAATCCTTCAAAGGCCTGATTAAATCACCTCAGTCTTTTCTTCATATTGTAGTAGTTTTATTACAATTCCTCCATGTATTCCATACAGTGAGACTCACTCCCAAACATTTACTTATCTGAAAGGTATTCATACTGTTGCCCCATGGATTTTATAATTAGAAGTGTTTACAAACTGTTCTGTGTAAACTCAAGTTATACAGAATTATTACTCCCCTCAGTGCAAAAGAAAAGATATTAAATTATTATTAGTTCATACATACAAGTAGAATACAGCACCACTTTGATCAATTATGGTCATAGCATTTCTATAGTTTATGAAGAAGCCAAATACAGAAGCTTTATCTGTATGTCTGATATTCCCCCACTTTCTTTTTATCACTTTGTGAAAAAAAAAGGGTACAATTCTTCAATTATCTAATTAAAATACTTCATGCTCAGTTGACCTCATTGGCAGGAGGAAAGACTGGACGTCTTCCTCCTGGGAGAGCTTACCCCAAGGTGCTCCAGGGCCATGTCCACTGGTCAGTAGCCAGCTGCAGCTTGTCAGGAGAGAGCAGGACTGCTTAAGGTGTCTAATCTTGCCAACTAGAGGCTGCTGGCGCTCAAGTGTCAACGTGATATCACCATGGAAACCAAGCCCTTCCAGGGCAGGCCTTACTAGTGGTTACTGTGAATAGGGAAACTGTCTTCTTACAATGGAACCTTATCCTGATTGCCCCATTTTTTATAAAACACACATAGACTAAACTCCTTTTCATGTCAAACTCCCCAAGGAAATTATCTCTGTTGATACTAAATAATTAAGAGTCCCAAATAAACTAGAAACTGTCATTTCTGTTTAGCTTTCAAAATGAGCCAACTACAAAAACTCTTCACTCTGTTGTAGTGGATAGGCCATTAGGAACTGGAAAACAAACAAACAAACCCCAAAATACTAAGTAGTTCACTGTCTCTGGTTTGTACTATGTCCTCTTTCCCGGATCCCTGCATAATTAAATGGAATGGAATTGATGTAGTCAGCATTGATGGAGAGAGCTTTCTGCCTGGAGATAAGAAGCAGTCAAGTTGTGGGGAGGCAGAAGCATGGAAGCAACCTGGACAACGGGAACAAATGCACCAGGGACTTAAATATTTGTTCCTATATTTAGAGGAAAAGAACCCTAGGCATGGGCCCAAAACTTCGACAGTGCTGTTTTCCTTCTTTGAATTTGCTCTAAGGGTGTGAGTGTCTTTCAGACAGATGGCTGAAATGATTGCTCCCCTCACTTGCATATTGCACAATGAATTTTGTTTCATAGATTTGGTTTTATCTAAAGAAACGTTTATATTATTTTTACATACCACTGGCCTACTGATTTACAAACTTGTATCCTATTACCCTGGAACAAAGACCCAGTAATTGTCCTGGTTATAGAATTAGACATCATCTGGGAGAATATAAGGGATATCCTCAGCCAAAACCAAGATTATAGTATTGGAAAAAATGCTCCATGAGATGGTGAGGATGCCCACACTTATACCCGAATTATAACATGACAGCACTTCAGTAATGATGCCAGGCTTCTCTCTCCTATGCAGCACTTTCCAAAACAATGCTGCCTGGAAACACATCTCCAAAAGAGAGTTTGTAGGCTAGCTTTTTGAGTTTTAACCTTAACTTCCCATTTAAGCTCATAGAAAAAAAAATATGACATTAAATCTCCCTGCCTTTCTGGGTACTTACTGTTGCCTGAATGATGGAAAGCTCTTTCGAAAAGATGGTTTTCTGTACCTCTGCTTTTCTTCACCAGTGGGTCTCAGAGATTGGCTTCTCTTAGGTATCTATTTGTAGATTCAAGGAACCAGTTGACTGTTGCCTGGGATACCAAGATTTTAAAGATACCGTCCTGGCTCACAACAGGCTAAAAATTAGAAGGGATAAGAAAAATATACACAAAATTCTAAATCAAAATAGATTTGCCTAAGTTGCATGAGAAATACAGAATTGTGCAATAAAATAATGAAGAGATTCTATCTAGTTGGGAAAAACAGGCAAGTATTAATGAAAAAGTAGAGTTCAACAACCACTTTGAAGAAAGAGTAAAATTTTAACAGGCAGAAAGAGGAGCCAACGACCAAAGGGAAAGGGTTGGGAAAGTAGGGATGTGATGGGGGAACAATCTATTCTGGATTAATTGAAGGAGACGAGTGTTAGAGAGGGGCAATGAAAAGTGATGCCATAAAATAATCAGGGCACCTTTTGTGGAAGGCTTTGAACACCAGTGTGAGGCATCTGAATCCTCTTCGGTAGGCGATTGGAAGCCATTGATGGTGTTTCTGATAGCACTTTGGAAAGGCTGGTCTTACATGTGTTGAATAGAAATGGCAAAATAGTTATGAGAGACATTACAGAGACACACTAAACGCTTAGAGATGGAGGGTGAGGGAACAAGAGTGAAGAGTCACTTTTCAGATGTAGACAGACCTGCATTGTCTATGTAACAAAGATCCAGTAATTGTCTGGGTCTTTGCCCCAGCAATATTGTAGCAACTTGCCACTTGAACTGTGGATGGTCTAAACTGAGGTACTGTAATTGTAAAATATACTCTGGATTTCTAAGGTTTTTATATTAAAGAATGTAAATATCCCATTGCTTACATGTTGAAATGCTAATATTTAGTATTTACTGCATTACATAAAATATATTTAAAACTAATTTAACCTGTTTCTTTAAAAATGTGTAGTGTAGCTACTAGAAAATTTAAAATTATATATGTGGCTTACATTCTATTTCTATTGGATGGCGGTCGTTTAGATTTTAGACAAATGGAACAATGGTGGACCATTAACAGACAAAGAAAAAGGAAGAACACGAGGTAGGGAGAGAGATCATCAACTTAGTGTTTCATATTTTAGCTTGGAGTGAAACATTCAAGTGGAACGTCAATAAAGCAGCTGAAAATATAAGTCTGGTATTAGGAGGGAATTGAGTGGAAGAAGCAGTTAGGAAGCCAATTGCTAAATCTTCTAGAACTACTGATAATTGCTCGAAAATATTATATCATTGTGAGTCTCTGACAAATAATTTCTTTGGGCATACTCCTTAAAATTCCATATGGTATATATGGACCTCCTTGACCTTGCGTGTGGGCCTTCTCCTTACAAAATTCTCTCTAGTTTCCAGTGCCCACAGATATGGATGACTTACAAGGTGCCGAAGACTTGCAATGGAGTGGGAGATGATGGTGTGGGGTGCAGGCTGCTGCCACAATTGTGAACAAACTGGTCCCTAGGGGTTGGTGATGTGAGTGAATACTGACATTCAGAACAACCACAACATTTGTTTTGCAGTACTCAGGAGGGAACAACAGAAGCAGTCTTAGCTCTTCATGATTTTATAATCTGATATGTGGACATAAAACACCATCAGACAGTGGGATTTTTCTTTTTTGATCTTAGTGTCTAGAATTATATGACCATCAGTTTAAATGCTCCATTCATTTTTGGTCCAATTCTAATGCCTTTTTTTTTTTTTATTAAATATCTTGTTCTCTTCCAACTGGATATACTCTTTTTTTCATTTGAGCCCTTATAGCATTTTGTATCTCTTTCTCTCTTTTTTATTGTCTGCCTTGTGTTGAATTATTTCATTACATATCTCTTCTCTCCCCTAGACTATATGGCCCTTGGATATGGACGACATATATTTATCTTGATCTTTCCTGATAATTTGTCTTTAGTTCATTCAGCCAGTGCTATGCTGAATGAACAAAAATTAAAACAGCTACCATTTGTTCAGCATTTACTATACGTGAGGTTTTGTAAGTATTTAATTGACTTCTTGCCAACCATAAAAATTACATTTTATTATTTTCAAATTTATAGTTAAGAAAACTGAGGTACAAAGAATTTCAGAAACTAGTCCAGTGCTGTCCAGCTGGTCGGTGGTAGAGCCAAAATTAGAACTCCTGTGGCCTGACTGCAGAGCCTTCACCGTGAGAGAGTGTATTGTTGTGCTTAGGAAAATGGTTTTGGAGTAAGAGTAAAATGATCTGGAGTAAGCTTCAAGCCTTAATACCACTACCTATACCTGTAGGACTTTGGGAAAGTTCCTGTCTAAACTTCTTTAACCCTTTTCCTGTTTTCCTTGAGATGACTTGCCAGCGGCTGCAGTGTTTACTCTAAGATAACTTTGCCACAAAATATCTCACTTTTATTATTATTTTCAAATCGCTCTACTATATCGACTTTGGAAACAAGAGACATCATTCTATTGATACCATTCTGTTTTTAGTAGTGGTATTTTCATTTACGAAAATATAGTAATTCTCCATCACTGAAAATGTCAAATCCTAGAAAACGTAGCATTCCTACAATGAGCAGTTGTTGGCCAACGATTCATTTGATGAATTCGATTTTTCTGAAATGGATGATTCTGATGTTAGTTTTGTTTAGAAGTAACTCCAAGAACAGTTTTTATATTTTATTTTCACATTGAAAATCAGTCAGATTGGCTTTAGCCTCAAAAAAGCGTTTATGTAAAATTAAATGAGTGCTGGCAGCGAGCTGCGCTTTTTTTTCCTAAATGAAAAAAGCATTAAACTTTGGTTTTCTCATCTCTAAAACAGGGGAAACAATTTCACCTAACTCTTAGGTTTACTAAGAGAAGCATCAATTATCTCAGGTACAGCATTTAATACCATGCCCAGGTTAAGGATCAAACTCAAAAAAGTTTTAGCTGAGTAAAATAAATAACAGTGCAAGATTAAAATGTCAATCCATTAATGTGATTAAGTAAATTTCTGTTACTGACTTAGAAATAATGAGAAACCTTTAGTTTTCCAGTTATTCTAGGTTCCTCACTCACTCAAAAATGGCCCGGTATAAAATGGTTCCAGACAAGTAATTGTGATGCTTCCCATGAGACTTCTCAAAGCATGAGGTATTTATTCTTTATAAAAGATGCTGTGTTCTAAGCCAATGTGTATGTATTAATTAGATGGGGGAGACTTCAAAGTAAGAGGAGGTATTTCTTTTTTTCCTGCCAAGAACGTGCTAAGGAAACCTAACGTATATACACACACACACCACAAATGAACTGAGAGTGACTGACGCGGGGGGCATAAAGGAAAGCATTGCCAGGACATTCTCACTGTTTATTTTCCAGGCCATGTTCCTATTAGCTAAGTGATGCCCACAGCACAGCCAATACAGCCTTCCCAAGCACAAACAGTTTTTCCAACAAAGAACTCCAATCACAGAGAGATTCTGACTCAATACTTGCCAGACGCCTGAGTAAGGGCCCTTCCTCAAGCTTGGCAGTGTTTTCAAACACACTCAAGGGCCAGATGGCTATTGGTCTGATTCACAGGAATGTGGTATAGTCACCAATAATGTGTCCAATTTTTAATTCCCACGCAGATAGTTCATCTTGAGAGGAGATTAAACATAGCTAGATAAGATGGCAGTGAACCAGAACTTCAAAGATGTGTGTTATTGAGAGGTTGCAGTTTGAACTAGTGGTAGAGAAGCTTCTTTTGTAGCCTTTAGAATTACAGATTTGTAGCATGTGATAGCCAGATAGAATGTTGGAGGCCATCTTGTGTAGCATTCTCCTTTTATAGAGAG